CTCACAGACCTGCTAGGTGGGGGGCTCTCCTCACAAAGCCCTGCCCCTGGCCGGCAGCAGGTTCTCTAGTGGGGCCAGTGGCGGGGCCGTAATAGGAACATTTTAGTTTTGATTCTCTGACAGAGATTCTGGGAAGAGGAAGAAGAGGAGGGGAAACCGAAAGGGGAGAACAGATGTGTTTTTCGTGGCAGGGCAGTGAGGGCTCTGTGGAAGCCGCCCTGCTTGTTCATCAGTCAGCACTGTGGGCCAGGCTGGGGAAGTGGCTGTGCTGGGGTGGGCGTTTGTCTGTCTTGTGGCAGGTTGCTCAGCCTCTTGGACCCTTGACGTCTTCATCAGTGATGAGGGGATGACTTGGTCTGAACCTCGGGCTGTTGTTGGGGTGTTGGCGTGGGGTGCTAATGGAGAAGCACAGAGCACTTAGCACTAGTCCTGGCCTCTTCCAGCCTCTATGTCCTCATCTGTAAAATGTGAGGAAAGCGCCAAGCTCCTGTATGCCCATGAGACCTGGTGAGCTGTCAGGCAGGGCCTGGCACTGGGCCCAGGCGGGGCTGGAGTGGCGATGTGTGTTCTGACTGTGCCCAAGCTGCCTGCCCAGAGCACTGGGGTCCACCCACAACAGGTCTCATTGGCCCATGGCGGCTGTATGTGTGCGTGTGTGTATGTGTGTGACTGTATGAATGAGTCTGAGTGCATGGATGTCCATGTGAGAACATGTGAGTGAGGGTGAACAAGTACATGTCTGTGTACGTGTATAGGTGTGTGTGCTTGCGCACACCTGTGTGTAGTGAGAGTGTGCACATGTTTGAGTGGGTGAGTGAATGTCCTGGGGGATCTGGCATTTTCTCTGTCCCAGCCCTACCTCGCCCTCCAGCTCCCACAAACAGAGCTGGCCTGTTCACAGCTAAGTCCTTGCACTATGGTCACATGGGGTGCTGGCTTCTCACCTCAGCCACGTCTGCGGGTTCCGGGCCAGAGCCTGTGGGAGCCCTGAGGGGTCCCTACTCCCTCTTCTGCACATGCTCGTGTCTGCGCAAACACCTGCACACATGGCCTCCCACACAAGAGCCATGCAGCTCAGGTGCATGTCCTGTGTGAGCGCACCGTCAGGGACATTACTCGGTAAGTGAAGCCACAGGGCACATGTGGGCCTACAGGTGACGACTGTGCAGCCCCCATAGCTCATAGGCCCAGGGTGGTAGGAGCCACACAGTCTGCACCTAGTTGCTCATCAGGGCTGTCTCTGTGGGACGGTGGTTTTCGCCTGCTTGCCCTGTCCCTCACCCCAGCAGCCTCAGCCTAGGCTACTTTTGAGAAAAGGTGAGGAAGAGAGCACAGAGATGGAGCCCTGCGGTGTGTGTCCCTGCTGCCTGCTGCCCCTGGCATGCACACACATGCACACCCACATAGCACACAGGTTCAATTGCACGTTCACGCATGTGCACACACATGAAGATCACACACCTTCTGGAAGGGTTCACAGAGCTCAGCAGCCACCACCGGTCCCCCCCCACACATTGACCTGTGTCTCCAGAGTCCTCCCAGATGACAGCTGCCCCAGTAGTATTGGAGTTTGGGGGGGCTTCTGAAGATTGGACCCTTCACACTCACTTTATGATAGAGGAAGTGGGAGCTCAGCAGAGGAAGGGGCCTGAACAGGATTTGAACAGGCGCCTGTTGACAGGTCCCCACAGGGGTGCCTGCCTTTGCAGAGGAGGGGACTGAGGCCTCCTAGAGAGCTAGAAGGAAGGCTTGTGGAGCCCTGGGATGAATGGATAGAATCGGACTGTCGGGTACCAGGTGCTGTGGCTGAAACAAGGTAGGGCTGTAACCTGCTGAACCTTGCCCAAATGTGGAGCCAAGAGGCTCCAACTATTCTCACAGAAGCCCCTCCCACCTGGACACACATACCAGGTCTCCCCACAGCTGGGAGAGGGATGTAGTACCGCAAGGTGGGGGAACCATTTCAGCTTCCTGTGCCTTCCAGGCAACTCACCATCCCCACCACCAAGTGGGGTGAATGTTCCATCCTTTTTGGGGGTTCCCTGGGAACCTCTTCTGGGCTGGGCCTGAGCTAGAAAGGATGGGGGACAATGACAACCTAATATGGCCAGTGTGAGATGGAGGGACACAGGTTCTCCCTTCCAGAGGCTACAGGAGACGGCCTAGAGGAAGGGACACTTGAACTGATTCTTCTCCTCACTTTTGGATTGTCCCTAGAAATATAATCAGTTTTCATATGTTGATCTTGGACCCTCCTACTTTGCTGAACTTATTTATTAGTTCTAATACTTTTTAAGTGGAGTCTATAGAATTTTCTATATATAAAATCATTATCTAGGTTGGGCATGGTGATTACACCTGTAATCCTAGCACTCTGGGAGACTGAGACCAGAGGATTGCTTAAGTAAGAGTGAGATCCCATGTCTACTAAAACTAGAAAAACACTCTGGGAGGCCGAAATGGGTGGATTGCTTGAGCTTACAGTTTTGAGTTCGAGACCAGCCTGAGCAAGAGTGAGACCCCCATCTCGAAACATAGCTGGGCTAGGGGTTGTGGTGGGTTAGCTACTCAGTAGGCGAAGGCAAGAGGGTTGCTTAAGCCCAAGAGTTAGAGGTTGCTGTGAGCTATGATGCTGCAGCACTCTACTGAGGGTGACAAAGTAAGACTCTGTCTTAAAAAATAAATACATAAATAATACTAGAAAAAATTAGCAGGTGTTATACCGGGTGCCTGTAGTCCCAGCTACTTGGGAGGCTGAGGCAAGAGGATGGCTTGAGCCCAGGAGTATGAGGTTGTTGTGAGCTGACACCACTGCACTCTAGCCTGGGCAACAGAGTGAGACTGTCAAAAGAAAAAAATTGTCATCGAATCAGTGAATAGTTTACTTCTTTCTTTTCAATCTGGATACCTCTTATTTCTTTTGTTGCCTAATTTCCCGGCCAGAATCTCCAGTGAGATATTGCTCTTTCCAGGAGTGGCGAGAGCAACATCCTTGCCTTGTTCCTGTTCTTGGGCTTCAGTCTTTAATGAGGTGATGTTAACTGTGGAGTTTTCATAGATTCTCTTTACCAATCAGGTTGAAAGTTCCCTTTTATTCTTGGTTTGTCGAGTGTTGTTCTTACCATGAGGCATTGTTGAATTTTGTCAAATGCTTTTTTTCCATTTATTAAGATGACCATGTAGCTTTGTCCTTTATTTATTTATTTATTTATTTTTTGAGGCAGAGCCTCAAGCTGTTCCCCTGGGTAGAGTGCTGTGACATCATAGCTCACAGCAACCTCCAACTCCTGGGCTCAAGCAAGTCTCCTGCCTCTGCCTCCCAAGCAGCTGGGACCACAGG